GTTTCTGGAGCCTCAGGTTCAGTGGATAGCACCTCAGAGTGGCTTCTGGAAACTGGGCAGTTTTATAAAGCTTTATAAAGGTCTGGTTAGCAGGGATCTGTATCTCCACCATCTCACAACCCCCTATCCCCCCACTAAACTATTTCTCGATCTTGATAAAACTTTGAAATTTTAACCAATAATAGTTAAAAATTGCTATATTTAAGTCTAATTTCAAAAGATCTTTAATTTTGGAATGACTAAATTCCATTAGACATAATTCCAAACACCTCTTTTCATACATCCATCCACTCTGTACTTAAGTTGAATTGTTTGTTTTAAAAACAGTATCAATATCTTCCAAGATATTGTATAAAAATTATTCAGGTTCTAAGAATTTGCTTATAGTGCAAATCAGGAATAATTGGAATGTAGGTGACCCATCAGGGTTACTAACCGCACTAAGGAAAATTATTATATCTGTGGTTTCTAGGTCTTTTAAATAAAGAAATAGCATAATGATGCAATAATATTTTTAATTATCTTCCAATCTGCAACATAATTTATAAACAAAGCATTCTTCTGATGAGAATTACTTAAGAAATTCTAGATAATTTTGAAATAGCCATAAAAATTTTTTTTGGAAAGTTAAAACCATAAATCTGTCTTAAATTTTAAAAAAAAATCTATCACCTTTCTTTCTCTCTCTCCTCAGTCCCAGTGGAAGATAGCTGTTTATGTCTCTGTCTAAAAGGATGTCCCAAAGGGAAACACTCCAGATAATGGGGCCAATTGCATTTAACTCCAAGGATTGATATCCTATGTCACTTCAGTGACTCAAAACAGGACAGCACCTATCTGGGTAAAAGGAGTAGGTCCAATTTCAGGTTTAGAATTTGAGGGCCTTTGGTTTCTTATAATTTTTAATAGACTCCTCTGGAAACAACTCAACCAAAGCTACAAATCAATACCTGTCTCTACTAAAAACCAATATAAAGCCTCCAGTGCCAAACTTTGCAACCTGAATAAAATCAGAATTATTACCATGGCCTACAAGGCCTCTTATGATCTGACTTCTGCTTGTGTTTCTGACCTTATATCCTTCTACTCTGCCTTTCTTCACTCTTCTCTAGCTTTACGAGCTTTCTTAATGTCTAACTTATTCTGTCACAGGGTGTTTACATGTGCTTTCTCTCTTGATCTTCTCATGTCTACCTCTTAGCACTTAGAGCTCCATTTGAGTGCCAAATACTATAGGAAGACTTCCCTGACCTTTGGGTTAGAGTAGCACCATGCCTGTTGGCCTAATCAGTTCTGTTAACCAATTCATTTTCTCTATGACATTCTTGGTGCCTAAAGTGACTATGTTCATCCTTCTGTGTTGTATTTATTATCACTTCCTGTCACTAGACTTTACATTCCTTGAAGGCAGGGACTTGGCATCCTTTAACACAATATCCCCGTATGTAGGCTTTATCATGTAGAAGGTGGGTATCCACTGGTTAAAGAGTCATATGAATTTTGCCCATGGAGATACTTCTCTTTGTAAATAGCTTGAAATAGAAAAAAATTATTTTTAGTTTTTCAGATTTAAAGTTCCATCAAAATAACAATAACAACCATAATAATAAGCTAAGAACTTTTTAGGCAAATGTCCATTTTTATTGTTTGCAGCCTAACCTCTTTAAAAATTATAAATCAGCAACATCCTTTTCATGGCCTGTTTTTGAATATTTCCCAGGCACCCAGACATTCTGGGTCTGGAAGAGGGCATTTGACTCAAAAGAAATCAGCCAGAATGTACAAATAAGGGTGGGTCTGCAGAAGTAAGTAGGAGGAGGTGTGGGAGAAAACTCTAATTAATAATGAGAAAAAGGAAAGAAAAGAGAGTAGAATACAGCATAGGAGAAGAAAAGTAAAAGAGGACTAGAAATGGAAGGATTAGAGGAAGTAAGCAAAACAAGAAAGTGAGATATAGAGAACAAAGCATAGAAGAGGAAGTGGGGACAAGAGGAAGAAAGCAGGAGGCTTGGGAGAAGCAGGACCCAAGGGGCAGTGCGGAGCAGAAAGAAGGCACTGAGCCAAGTACCAAGATACACATGGAAAGCACCACTGCTACAAAACTCCCTGGCCATGGTCAGGGCAAGTTACCTTCCTTGCTGATTCGAGAGATGATTTTTAAAGCATCATCCATCCCCAGTACTCACTTTGCTTTACAAACAGAAGGCTTTAAAGGGCTCCCCGGCAAACGGATTTTCTGTCTCTGAGCAAATCTAAGTGGCAGATGGGCCCTGGCTCCCCAAGGAGAACAGCCCCCCCCCCCACTATTGTCTGAGCCCTTCTGCAGTGTGAGTGCTCAGCCATTGCCTCTGCTCGGTCAGGCAGGAAGGAAGGCTTTGAACTTGATCGACCTCCTATTTTAAATGGAGGCCTATTCTCACATTCATCCATTACAGATTCCAAGGTGTGTTTCAGAGACTTTTTTCACTGGAATATTTCCTGGAAAAACAGTCTTGGAAGTGGACATTCTTAAGGTCAATTCCAGGTTTCTCACTTCATGGCTTTAATGGTTTGTCTGTAAGATGGAAATAGAGACTCTACCCTCATCCTGTTGTTGTGAGGGTTAAATAATGTAACATGTCTAAAGAATTACATACAGAGTAGGCCCTCAATTAATACCCTCTGCCTTCTCTTCTGATAATCAGAAATCTTATCTTCTCCTGTCATACTCTCCTTTCCCAATATGGGATCCCCTGGCAGATTTTCACATTGGAGATGGTTAAAGCAAGGATCATCTATCATTTTCTTACAGGTAAAATAGGGGAAGGTATTCTTTCACCCAGTAAAGAGTTTCTTTTTTATTTTTTGGTGTATCAAAATAAAGTACTTTCCAAACCGTACAAAATAGTCATTTTCTGCAAAATAACAGCATATCATTCAATGCATACTACAGCAACACATAGAGCATTGCAACAGCTGCGGATTTAGCCAAATCCTTCTTTGGCTGCAGTGCAAAAGGAAGATCACAGGTCTTGGAACTGGAACAATGTATGTTTGAAGCAAAGGCACAACTCCTCACCAGCAGTGTGCCAGCTCTGCACCAGTTCTATGTCAGCTCAGTGTCAGTTCCATCAGTGTGAAATGATATCATATCTTTTGTTGCTGATTTGGTGGTTGTTGGCATTAAGTCGACTACACGAAAGTGCCTACTGTGGCATTATATTGAACACATAGTGAGTACCTAATAGAAAGTTACACTGGTTTCTGTTTCTTTCAGTGGAAGCTATTGGAAAACTTTATGCTTCTTCTTCCTTGGAACTACACCTTTAATTTTATAAAGAAAAGTAATGTGCAAATATGACTTGATTTATGGCCAATAAGAGAGACACATAATGATTTGCAGTCTCTTCTGGGAGAAAGGGACTATTCTGTTTAGGAACATCACCAAGTCCTTACATTATCAGTAATGATTGAGCCTGGAAATTAGCCAAGGATACCAGGTAGTGATGTTAGGATTAATTTAGGCTTCATGTAATTGGTCCCTGAGAAACTGCAATCTAGAGATTTGATAGAAAATGTTGGGAATCCTTAAGGGAAATAACCAGTATACTTTCTAGGTAAATATTGGTCACATCTTGGACTTCAATCTTAGAGTCTTAGACCTAAAGGGGAAGTTTGAAATTGCCTAGACTGGGAATTAGAGGGCTTGGGAAGGTTTCTTTCATCTCCTGAAATTATTTGCAACATGTTATATTGTATGTACATATCAACGATATTCTCAGGAGAACATCATCTTTCATCACATGCTCAGCTGGGAACATTATTCAAAAAGGTTAAATCCACTGTATTTGAATAACCTCCAGAAAAGTGATAGAAACCTTTTAGAGCTTTCAATTCAGGCAGCCCGCTGTGGCATGCATGGCATAAGTTCGCCACCTCTGCTCTAGAAGTTATGTGTATATATTTTCAAAGAAAGATAAAACATGTTCCAGGATTCATGTTGCATGTTCTGTCCACAGTCACAGTGAGTTAGTATCAGCACAGAGGAGATAAATCAAGTTGTCCCAGTGACTATTTCTCTGTCATTCAAATGATTTGTATTTATTAATGTGTATAATTTCCATAGTGCATTAGGCATTATGAAGGCTGTAGATGTATAAAAGTATCTGTTGTAATGGAAGTTTTAATCTGGTTGGAGAATTTTTTGTAAAGTCCTTAGAAAAAGACTAGGGTTAGTCAAGAACAATGTAAGCAAGTACCTGCTTGCAAGGTACAGCCTGTAATTGCAGAGAAGGGGTTCAGAGGCCAGGCTGGTGGGTGGTGTCTGAAGAAAAGAAATGGATGTCATTATGGAACATTGGTGAGGAGACTGGCCTCAGTAGCTTATGTTGGACCTTGAAGTGGCTGGAGGCTTCACAACGAGGGTGGTTGAAGTTTTTATTCTATTACATTATTTTTATTCCAAAATGACTCTCATATTTCTACAAAGTCTACACAAAGCACAACCTACATTTATTTATTTTTTATTTTTTTATTTTTTTTGGTACCAGGGATTGAACTCGGGTCCTTGCACTTGTGTAGCAGACGGCAAAACCACTGAGCTAAATCCCCGGCCCTCAACCTACATTTATTAATTCAGTTCAAAGGTTAATAATCTTATTCACTCTGGTGGCTTGAGTAAATACTATTTCTAGAGTTAGTTTTGATACATTTCCACACTGAAAATAAAAGTTAACTTCAGATCAGCTTAAGAATGACATAATAAGTTGTTCTTACCCTGTCATATCACTGTATCTTTTGCCTGGCATTCTCTGTGTGTGTGTGTGGTGCTTTGTTTTAAAATTTGACTTTATTTTTTCTTTCAATTATTAATTTTTATTAGCATATGTTAGCAGTACGCGATGCTAGCTAGCATTTATTGTGGAGAATTCGTACATGTGCCTAACACATCTTAATTCTTTGTACATCCCCCTCTCTCCCTCCCTCCATCTCTTGGTCTGTTCTCTTGCCATTTGCAAAAGATCTGGAGAGTCCTGCTGAAGGCGCCACAGCTGGAAACGGAATTACACTGGTGCCCTCTGCTGGTAAGAGATGGGAAGTTCAGCAGGAAACAATGGTACCCTAGTCTTTTCAATGTAGGGACTGAATCTGTGATTCTCAGCCCTCAGGGGCCTTCAGGCAGGATTTATTTAGTACAGTGTGCAGGCCTCCCAATCAGGTATGCTCTGACATCATGCCTGAATTCATTAACTGGAAGGAGTAATTGGGTTTTTATTGTAAGAAGCTTGTCAGCTAATTTTTAAAAGTAATTCAGAAAACGACCCCCCACCTTTACTTTGGCAGTTTGAGAGACGGACACTCCTTTCATAGCACACTGTACTGTGACTCATCGTGGGTGGTGGCTGTATTGCTACAATCCCTCTTGGGAGGCCAGGGGGAGACACTGAGGCTATTTTTAATCCTGTTCATTTTTTTTTTTAATGGTGAAGAAAGCACATTGATATTCATTGCTGATTTTCTTGGCTCAAATAATCAGAATTAATGCCACTGTGTTAAATTAGATTTAGAGTGTTCCTTTAGTTCCCTGCTCAGCTGCTTTTTCTGCTAGAGGTGAAAAAACATTCAGCTGTAATTAAGAAAGAGGAGTGTGCTGAGAAGGGAACCAAAAGAGAGAGGAGTTGTGAAATTTCATTTGTTCAAATTGGTGATAAACTTCTAAAATAAAATGATGGGAGCTGGAGTAGGGTAGAGAGAGGTTGGAATGAAGTGATCTTTTTCAACTCTCTACTTTTATTTTGTTTATTGTTTTAAAGATCAATAATAGGGACATGGAGGTCTGCCTTTGGTTTCCATAACAACCTGGCTTATTGAAAGCCTGCAGTCACCACAGATCCCCAATTATCAGCCTTCCAGGGCTTATTAGTGGAGCTGAGGATCCCAGTGAGCGGGCAGCTCATTGTTGGCACGTGCCTGGTGGGCTAGCGGGAGGGTGCAGGCAGGCAGAAGTGGAGCTGTTAGGTGAGACAGCAGCCATTTGTCCCCCTGTCACTTCAGGGCAGTGTAGTCACTCAGGAGGCTTCCGAGCACCTCCTGAAGCTCAAGAAGCTGCCGCTGCCACTGCAAGCAGCTCAGAAATCAGACATCGAAGTGGAGATTGCTTTTTCAGCTTCACCTCAAAGCCACCCATCTGGAATAAAGCCATATGAATATATCACAAGCCCTGTATGTTTGTTGAGCTCCTATAATTAATCGGCACTTCTTCCTCACAAAAAACAATGGTGACTCTACACTTCTAATATTAACTCAAGGCTTAATTAAAATGTGAAGCCAACCTAATGCATATTTGATAGCTTTGAATCACCCAGTCTTTGGTCTGGTGTTCGCTTATTAGATCCTAGCATTGAGTAATCATAATTGCAACAATAATACTGATGATAATAAGAATACAGGTAACATTTATTTTTGCCAGGCTTTCTGCTGAACGCTCTAGATGTGATTTCTTATTGCAATCCAATGGGCCTATAACAAGAGGTGTCACTGTTCCTTTTTTACAGATGAGAAAACAAAAACAAGAAAATTTAAATGACTTAAACATAGGCCAAATGGCTGGGGAGTGTAACTATGACATTGTCTCATGTCTGCTTCCTCCATGTCGTTGCTTTTAATCTTCCCTAATTATTTAACTTGAATGCTCTCAAAATAGAAAAGAAACATATTTACAATAAATCCTTTGTTGTCTAAAGTGACTGGGGAAGTGGAATGTCCTGCCTAATCAAATGTTTTGATTAAAAATTACCATCTATGTCATTATTGGATTTCCAATTGGGAAAGGTTTGGGATATAATAAAACAAATACAACATTAGAGGTATAGTAATCACTGTTGAACAAAGTCATAAAATGCTTTGGAATCATTATGTAAATGTCAGTTTTTGTTGTAAAGGAGAAGTGTTAGTTGATAAAGACTTCTGTTTGACAGACTATCAGATAAACTGTTTTTATAACATGGAAATATCTGCCTTAAAATTTTGAACTTTCTTTATTTTGAGTTACTTTATGTACCACTGAAGTTCAATGTGATCAGAAAAAACTATTTTGAAGTCTTCTGGAAATAAGAATTATTAGTGCAAGGAAAACCTGAAATTCATTAAGTATTCTGGATCACTGGACTGTGCTTTTTAAAACTTGGTCTTCATACTGTGTAGGAAATTAATATGACAATCCCTTGAGGTGGTTCTATCTGAAACTGTTGTAAAGCACCAAGAGAGTGGATCAACATTGGTAGAATTTTCATTATAGTTACTCAAACTATGATTTGAACTATGATATGAAACTTTTATGATTTTTAGTTTCCAGTATTCTTGCAGGCCTTGTTTACAAGGACCTCATCTTGCTAAGGATTAAGAGAAAATATAATAAGAATAATACATACTAAGCATATATATTTAAGCATCTTACAAATGCCATATTTTATAACAGCCATGAGATGGGCACTATACCTTTAATTTATAGATGGAGAAATCAAAATACAGAGAGGTTGCATAAAGTGCCTAAGGTATCACGTTGGGAAGTGACAGGTTTCAGATTCACACTCAGGTGACCTAGCTCTGGAATCTGTGTTCTCAACTAGTGTTGTTTATACTATCTCTGGCTTCTTTCTATTATCTCTTACACCTCAAACAATCACATCTAGATTCCCACCCTCATCTGAAAGAACTTTAGCTGAAGTCACAAATAACCTCCACATTACTACAATTCAGTGGTCAATTTTAAGGGCTCATTTTCTTTACCCAGCATTACTTCTATCCTTTGAGCCATTTTCATTGCTGTTTCTTTATCTCCCTAATTACTAAATATTGGAGTAACTACAGCTCAGTTCTTGGTTCTCCTCTTCTCTTTTCTGTCCACATTCTTTGGTGAACCCTTAGTTCATGGCTTTAAGTGTTTTCTACAATGTGATCAATCCCAGTATTCCACCTGTAGCCTAGACTTCTGTCCAACTACAAACAACTGTTTACTCTGCAAGTCACCTTCTGTATGCAATAGACATCTGAAACTAAATGTTTTCAAAACCAGACTCTGGTCTTTTCCCCTTGAACCTGCTCTTCCTCCAGTCTTCTTCATCTCAGAAATAAACAAATCCATCTCTTCCTGAGACTTAGGCCATAGATATTTGAATTTTCCTTGATTCTTTTTTCTTTGACAATATTCCATCTATAAGCAAATCAAAATATCTAGAATCTCAGCATCTGCATTATCTACTATCCATCTCGCTTCAATAAAAGCCACGTTTTTAACATGTCCTCAACGTTTCATATGATTAACATCCCACCTAGTCACTACTCAGATTTTGTGTACTTTGATCCTCTCTCAGTCCACTCCAGAAATACTGATTTTCTTTTTCTTCTTATCAACAAGGCACGCTTACATTCTAGAGCATTTGCATCTACTGTTTGTTCTGCCTCAAACCTTCCTTCTCAAGGTGCTCCTGTACTTCACTCTCTAACCTTCTTCAGCTCTATGTTCAAATGACCAAATGCCTTTCTCCCACACTGAACTATCAAATTGAAGTCAGAGAAACTTTAATGTCTAATAAAGAATCTTCGGTGGGTTAAAATTATAGTTAACTCAGAATTTACCTATCAATAGTCCTTTTATAGCAGGTTCAATTTGCTTATGTATTGATTCAATGTAATTGGAACATTTTTCATATAAGAATTTCTTCAAAGGAGTACTGTATAAAATCTTAGGTATTATATATTGTATTTATATATTATACATTATATACACATATGGGCAGCTCTGTTAATGATCAGAGTTCAAGGATTAAGTCTTTTGTCAGCTATTAGCTTGATCCACTTGGAAAACTGTTAGTGACCCAGAAAACACCACTAAAAACCAGTGCATCTTCTCTTATATTCTAATTGTGATTGGTAAGTTTGCCTGAATAAAGGCAAAATACTGTGAGCCAAACAATAAATCTCATGTGTGTAACTAGACAGACTTTGATGAGAAAGGGCTATTATTCATTACCTAAGAGCCTGGAGGTCCATGAGGGGAATGTGTATGTGTGTTGGCATTTAGGGAGTGGCCAGAAGGATGTGGTAAGAGTGGTAATCGACATAAAACCTTGTGATGAGAAAAGTAAGGAGATGGAGGTGTCAGTGCTACCTACAAATCCCATCCAAAAGGAAGATGTGGTCAGAGAGAACCAAGACAACAATGAACAACTGTGAAGCTTTAAAATCTGTTGACTAGAAACCTTTAATGATAAGAATCTGTATATGAATAAGAGTATGTACGTATGCTTCATGATCCGTACCTAAACTGGTAACCCTTCGTCGCTTACTCAATATTCTCATCATTCTGCTTATTTGAATAGCTGCCCAACATAGTAGGAAGAAAAGGGAGGATCAACAAAAGGAGGAAAGAGCTGTGATTTTTCTCCATTGCCAAATGCTTGGAACAGTGGCAGGCATTCTCTGGGATTAGAATTTCCTGCTCCTGAAGTGGTGCTTGTTTACCACGGAAAGCCTTGGTTTATGGAGGAGTACTTTGACACTGGCAGGAGAGAGATGGGAATATAATCATTCCAGCTCTGCTATTTATCCTTAGCAACCTGTGTGCTGACACCTGCTGGGTATGGCAGATCTGTACCTTGTCACCACATGTGTAATGTGTGTGAGAGAACAGTAATAGGGTTAATGTCACTCCTTCACGAAGAGAATTTTGTTTATTCCTATTGCTTCCCGTATTACTCCAACACCCTCTGTGCCATCACTCCCAACCTTCTTTCCTTATCCGCCATCACCATGCTCCCACCCAGATCTCCTGAGAGTCATTACTACTGAGCCCATCAGCCAAAGTTAGTGGGTTTCCATGGTAACCAGGCAGCTGGTGTCTAGACACTCTGAGAGATGCTTTGCAATTGAGCTGCTGCAAATCTAGCTTCTATCACACACTCCCTTCTCTTCCCTCCTCCTTTTTTTCTCCCATTTCCTTTTTATTTACAGCAGACATTAATGCCAACACTGGATAGAGTTTTCTTTTGACAGACCGTTAAAGGAAGGGGGAGAGAGAGAGGAT